CCCGAGAACCCCCTCGGGGGAGGAACAACAAAAACGTCCGTGTGAGGTGTAGTTTGGGATAGGTCCCCGCGGGGCGGGAGGGGGGGAATAACTCCTTTGGGATGTATGTTAGGGAGATTTTCCCTATAGCCCCATGGGGGGACGTTGAAGAACTAATCGTCTGACATTTCCGTTGCACTCTCCTCCAGGTGAGGGGAACATGTGTCGTCTAAGATGTCTTGCCTTGTCACCAGTTTCCTAAGCAGCTCGCAGACCTCTGGAGGCTGGATGGGCAACGGCTTTCTCAAGTGCGGCGGCACAGGCAGCTGAAAGAGTACTCTTAGTAAGTTGATTGCCGAGACGGTGACATGAATGAAGAGACATTCTGGCTCGCTCGCCTCGGTTCGGGCGCGGACCGTTTTTCCTGGCGAATGGCTTTTGAACCACATGTTACGAACAACATCTGTCCGCAGGCGAAGGTGGCATGGCCGCCACTTCCGCTTCAAGAAAACTCCATTCCAGGTTCAAACTGCGTCAACCAATTTGCATGCCTGAGATGATCCAAAAGGTGGCGTTGCCACCACTTCCTGGGCAGCACCGGCTCCATGACACCCTGCAGGTCTCCGACCTACTTGCCCCGAAAAACATCCCCTCAAGCTCGTTGGAAACCGTCATAAGTCTAAAACAAACTCCACCAAGATGTTCCCAGAAGGGCCTGCGAGAACATACACGCTGGTGCCAACGCAGGGGCCCAGCTGGGGTTTCTTGGTGTAACGGGCGGCTCGCGATTGGCAAGAGCTCCAGTGAGCCTGGAAGAAGAATCCTGGGCTCGGCAGACCCCCATCATCCACGCCCCTCATCACTCATCATCCAGCTGGCATCGGCGCAGTCAGCCACGATCGCCCGGCAAAGACGCCTCGGGTCTGGACGGTGGAAATTGTTGCACACAGGCCTCACACGGGACGCGGAAACAATACCACTTCCAGCAGCGTAGCCCGCTGCGCACAGACGGCAACGAGGCGGCGCGCGGCTGCAGAATGGCCCGCGCGCGTTCCAGCTCACGCTGCATGGGCGGCGGGAGCGGCTGAATTGATTGGCGCAGGCTGGGTCCTGCAAGTACTGCGCGCGGCCCGCCTTGCACGGGGGGGGCGCGCGAGAATGCGAGCGAGACGTCGGTTGCACGCTGCGCCAGGCAAGCGCAGACTGCCGTCGATCGGCTGCGCTGCGGCGTGATGCGCGCATCTGCAGTGCCACCGGGGCCGGCGCCTCTTCCTGCGGCCCGTCGGACAAGGGCGCGCTATGCGAAGTCGACGTGGATGGCCACCGCCTTTTCCGCCCCAACGCCCCCGTTGATTCCGAGGCGCGGAATGGCAGCTCAATTTCCTTCGGTCGAAAGTTACTGGCACGAGGTCACGCGCTTTCGCGACAAGCCCATCGGCGATGAACATCGCGCGATCTACTCGAGGCGCGCACTGCCGCGCCGCGCTCTTCTCGGCACTTGAACTCGCGCGAGGAGCCACGGAGCGCAACGGTTGCAATGCTGCTGGCGTACGTACAGGCCGACGCGCAGCACGAGAATACGCGGAGAGAGGAGGGGAGAGGGCAATCGCATAGCGCGCGGTTCAGAGCATGCCGCACTGGCGGCAAAAATGCGCCAGACTCGCGGACGAGGCCCAGGGCCCGCGGGCGCGCGGCGCGCCCCGAGCTTCGCTAGAAGAGTGCATTCTGTGCGGCTTGGCAAGTCAGCGATGTTAACTTCGGTCGTTGCTCGTTCAATGACGACGAGCACGCCGGGCGCGCAGCTCGCCGACCAACGTGCACGAAGAGAGAGCGCGGTGATCTGCCTCGTTCGCGCAGCCCTTCGCAGGATTGCCTCAACGGCCGCGTCCTCACTGAAGACTAGCACCTGGCAGATCCGCCGGCGCCTGGGCGCTCGCCATGACTTCTCTCGAATCGACCGCTCTTCTCGACGGCGCGTCGCGCCGCCGCGATAGCAAATCGCGCGCGCTACCCCTGAGTCCGCCGCAACGCCCGCGCGCGCTGGAGCGGGCGCGCCGCGGCTCAACCCACTCTGCCGAATGAGTGGGACACTCCCCAAGAGAGCGCCCCCGCGGGACTTGAGGCTGCGCCCGCGGGGCGCCGCGCGCGTCGCCTGGGCCCGCGCGCCGCGACGTATCCCATCCACCACGCAGCTTTGTCGTCCGACGGCGCGCCGCGCGCCCCTGATGGCGACAGATCGACGCGCGGCCCTAGAAAGGCCAGCCGGTTGCCGCATCCCCTCTCGTGCTCAGCCAGCGCCGGCCAGGCTAGCTCCGTCTAAGCTACCGAGACAGTCGAGGGCGCGCCCCGCCCGCGCGCGCGGGGCGGGGGATCGACGCGCGCGCCCACGCGCGCCTCGGCCGCGCGCGAAGCCGAGGCCGTGGACAGGTCTAAGATCTGGTGAATGTAATTCCTTTCTCGCGATTGTCTGAATCGCGCTCCAATCCTCTCCCGGCCGCGCGCGCTGGCGACTGAACACTTAGCGCGAGGCGCGCCCTCGCGCGGGCAGCGCGACGCTGCCCACCGGTTCCGCGCTGCAGCGAACTACGCCCAACCAAGCCAGGAACGCTTCTGCTTTGTTTAACCGCGACCCGCGCTAACTTCTGGCGATCACGTCTATGGGGTCAGCGTGTAGGCGCGGCGCCCGCGTCAGCTATGATGGGCGCGATGTCATCGCCCACCTGCCGCGCGATCAACCAGGTGCGAACAAGAATCAACATTTGCGCGCCTCGCCATCTCGGAGACGACCTTGGAGAGGCGGAGTAAATCGAACACTTTTCGCGCGCGAACGCACCCGCGCGTCCGCGCGCGTCGCGAACGCGCGACATTGGCATAGAGTAGACGACCGGAATTCCGGGGCGCAATCCGATGATTTGACCCCTCGGGCGTCCCCGAATGGACGCGCGACTCTTAGATTTGCCTGACCAGCAACGCCACCCAGCGCGCCCAGAGGCGAGCCGGCCGAGCGCGGTCTCATCCTCCACCTGATTGAACAAAATGTCTTCGAAGTCGTCCTCTCAACGAGACGGATTACCTTTCGCTGCAAGTCAACGCGCATCCTCGCGACGAACCAGCCGGCGAACGGGCTCTCGCGCGGAACGCTTGGCGCATCTATCGCCTGCGCGCACAGCTGCGCGCAGGGGGGGTCCAGCCCCCGCCCGCCGGTACGATCGTTAGCGTTACAAGGGGGGGTGGGGGGGCCTGGCCCTCGTGACGAGCGTCGCCCTGGGGTGGCAACGAAAAACAAACTTACCCGGCGACGCACATAACCCTTTTCAAAATACATGGATGACACCTATCTATATATGTATGTACATGCATACATGCATGCATGCGCATATATACACACACCTATATATATATGTGCGTATATGTCATGATCGATATGACTATATATAAAAATAGGTGTTCGTATATAAACATATCGGTAGATCACTGAATGTAAACGAACATGGTGTGAATGCCCCGCAGCGCGCATGAGCTCCCTGGAGCGCGCGATATGAATAAGCCAGATAGGGACGGAGGCAGAAGCATGCAGAGGAGCGGGACATACATGTTCAGTAACAGCAGCAGCGCCGTGCGCTGCACACGCGGGAAACAGCACAGCAGCTCCATGCGCTTGCTCTATAGCAGAACAACGCGTCGCGCTGAGCGAAGCAAGCGCGCGGGGTGGCATGGCGGGCCAGAGGCAGCTGAGGATGGGGGCAGAAAACAGCGCCACGCGCAGCGTGGCGCAGCGGCCCCCTGCGAGCTGCGATGCGACAGCGCCGAGCGCTGCGCGACTGGATGGCGCCAGGCGCCAATGGGGGCCCCTTCCATGTTGGACGCGAGTGCGTGTCGTCAGTTGAATTTCTCGCTGCGACCTTCACGGGGCCCACGCAAGTGGCGACAGCTGAGCACTCCGCAACCCCTAGGGAGCCGCGAGGCCCCAACTAGATCCTCGTACAACTCCACTCCACGCGACCTCACAGGGGCCCGCAAAAGCGGCGACACTTGCGCAGTTCGCAGCCCCCCAGGGAGCCGCGCGGTCCCAACTAGATCCCCGCACCACTCCACTCCGCTGGACCTCCCAGGAGCCCGCGAACGTGGCGACAGCTGCGCATTTCACAACCACGCAGGGCGCCGCGAGGTCCCAACTGGGCCCGCGCACCACTGTGCTCCGCTGGATCTGCCAGGAGCCCGCGAAAATGACGACAGATGCGCACTTCACAACCACGCAGGGTGCCGCGAGGTCCCAACTTGGTCGTCGTACCACTCCACTCCGCCGGACCTCCCAGGAGCCCGCGAAAGTGGCGACACTCGCGCACTTCACAGCCACGCAAGGCGCCGCGAATGCCCCAACTGGGTCCGCGTGCCGGTACACTCCGCTGGACCTCCCAGGAACACGCGAGCATGGCGACAGCTGCGCACTTCGCAGCCGCGCAAGGCGCCGCGAGGCCCCAACTGGCTCCGCGTACCACTCCACCCCGCTGGACCTCCCAGAAACCCGCGAAAGCGGCGACAGCTGCGCGCCTCGCAGCCAC